AGAGAGAGAGAGAGAGAGAGAGAGAGAGAGAGAGAGAGAGAGAGAGAGAGAGAGAGAGAGAGAAAGAAACGGATTACAGGAGGAGAACGAACTGTTAAAACAATAATAATCGTCACAACAAACATCATTATCGTAGTCATCAATGTGATCGTTTGTTACTCACCCTCCCCAGGTTGTGTATGTGACTGCTACTCTCCCCTACCTCCTGCTGACGGCCTTTTTGATCAAAGGAGCCACTTTGCCCGGAGCCGGGGAGGGAGTCCTTTACTATCTCACTCCTGATTTCAAGTGAGTTAAAGATGTTGTTTTTTATTTATATTTAAAAAGATTATTTTTCAATAACTGATTAAAAACAAAGACAAAGAAGTACTAGTAAAAATCTGTTAAAACTGATTTTCATTTGCAACAACATTAACTTTTTCTTTTTTCCATTTTTTTCTTGTGTCAGAGAGTTTTTTAGTTAGGTTACACTTTCTGATATGTACAGTGTGTCAAATATGCTTTATTGTAAACATGTTCTAAGTTGTCTTTAGACTTCTGAGGGGGGAGGAAGATGCCAAATCTATATTGTTTTATGATTCTTGTATATTATATTTCTTTTTTCATTTTTCAATTTTTAGTTTTCCATCCAATACAAATTTATACACTCCTTTGTCTTACTGGGTTTCAACAGTTAACACTCTTTTCCCTTTACTACCTGTAGGTTGTATTTCAATGAATACAATCTTTATCTCCTCTCTTTCCAGCAAACTGTTGTCAATGCAGACATGGGTTGAAGCAAGTCTCCAAGTGTTCTACTCTCTGGGCCCATGCTGGGGCGGACTCATCACCATGGCCAGCTACAACAAGTTTAGCAACAACTGCATGAGGTGAGATTTTGTGTCAGAGTCGTTGAGGGAGAAAGGCACAAACAGACAGACAGACAGACAGATAGACAGATAGACAGACGGACGGACGGACAGACACACAGACAGACAGACGGGTCAATAAGACCAAGTGAACGAATTACAAAGATAGAAATGGTGAGGGGGGGGATCCTAAATCAGTTCGTTTTAAAAATAACACTTTAAAGAAGGAAAAACAATATTGCTTTGAAGGTAGTTTATTAGGCTGATTGACATAATAATAATAATGAAAATAAGGAGAAGATGAAGAAGAAAAAGAAGAAGAGGAAAAAGAAAAGAAGAAGAAGAAGAAGAAGAAGAAGAAGAAGAAGAAGAAGA